GGGGAATGGATAAGAAAGGATAAGGGTGAGCTAACCTACCAGGAGTAGATGAAGCAGATGAAATAGGGCAAAGACACCACAAGCTGCAGCCAGCGCCAATTGGGGATGGCGTAAGCCACCCCAGCCAGAATGAACTGCCCGATTGTGAAGCAGTATCCATAGATGGTGCCCACAACGGCCCATGTGCAGGTAGGTGTTCATTCCACAGCTGGAGAGAGACACACACAAAGGGAAAATAATCTCTCTGTTCTTGGGCTGATGACCTCCAGTGGTGAGAACAAGGATGAGCGGAGGCAGCAGGAACATGTACAAACAGCCTTCCCCTGGCTCTTTGAGGCTGAGATGAAATAGCTCCCCAGAACCTGCATTCCCTGAGCCATGCCTCGTTCCCCTGCTAGTTGTATCCCACCTAGTGGTAGTAGGTGGTACTGCACCCTGCTGGAGGCGCTCCATTCCCCCTTGCCATGGCAGCAGCCAGTACTGCACCGTGCAGCAACTCCAGCCCCCTGGTAGCAGCAAGCAGTACTGCCCTTTGCAGGGTTGCAAACACTCCAGAAGATCCCCCCCCCCGCCCAACGGCAGCAGGCTGTACTGTATCCTGCAGGGTTACAGCAGCTCTAACACCCCACAATGGCACACTTATGCACCCTGAAGTACATCAGCCACAATACACAGTTATTATGTAATTGAATAAGCTGAATCGCATTAGCCTCTGATACCTAGCTGCCCCTGGGTCCTTCAGTTCCTAGAGGTCCTGTATACATTGTATAGTGCAAGGAACTTACTAGTAATGAGGAGGGCATTCTGTAGCTCCTGCCTGATGCACATGGCCTGTGCCTGTTCTGTAGAAGACGTATTGTGGAATGTCTGTTCTGTTGTGAATCATCGTCATCTCATGACGGCACTCCACTCTAATAGCTTCCATTCCATTCTTGGGGACTGTAGGGGTTCGGCCGGGGTGGCTGGGAACCAGGCCGCCTCACTACTTAGGTCCGGGAATTAGCCTGGGTGTGCGGCAAACAGTCGGCACCTCAGGCCCTCAGGCAGGGGTGAGCAAACAGTTCAATAACAGGAACAGGCCCTGGGTCAGGGCAGGGCAGCAAACAGTCAGGAGCTCAGGCCCTCAGGCAGGATGTGAGCAGACAAATAAGTTTTGGAGGCCCAGGTCCTGCCTCCGAAGCACCTGGGAGAGGGAGAGACTGCCACCTGCATATTGGGTGGCAGGGGGGATGCAAGCCACCCACTCCACTGCGTCCCAACCCGGGGCCCTAGCAATGGCAGAAGACCTGTTTCTGAGTCAGTTGGGATCCTGACCGCAACACACTGATATTGGCTCTGGGTGTGCTGCAACCAGACTAGGGTCAGCTGCCCCTGGGCTACTTCCTACTTCCCCCTATATAGGTACCTGCATCTGGACAGAGTCTTCCAAGGAGTCAAGCACCATGGGCTCCTCTGGGTACCCGGCGGGTGGTAGGCTTGGCAGCTCCACTGGGTAACTTGCCACAGGCAAGTTTACCAGCTTCTCCGGGGTCTGGTTGGCGTCTGGCCAGTCCTCGGGTCGGCCGCAAACTGCAGAAGTCTCCCAACCGGGAGCTAGGCCACAGGCGTCTGGCTTCTCCAGTGGCCAGGCCTCTAGTGAACTCTGGGGTTGGGCTTTTGTACTTCCTGTCCTGCGCCCTGACCTCTAGGGGGTGGGCGCAAGCTCCACTTGCTTCGTCCACTTTGGCACCGGAGGGGCTCGTCCCCCTCTGGGGCGGCTGGGAACCAGGCCGCCTCACTACAGGGACCTGCATGCTATTGGAAGCTGCCCTGTTTGTGGCATCTCCTGTGCTCTGGCACTGCAGAAGCACACGGAGGTGGGATTGTTCCAGAGAATTCAGTTCTCGTTTAGGCACCACATTTTCAGAAGAGGACACAGCCAGATTTCGAGGTGCAAAATATCTGCTAAATAACGTGCTCAGATCTTTGTCATCTGTAGCAATCAGTGTCCCAAAGGGAGCTGCTGAGTGCTTTGGTAAATCCAGGTTGGAATGGGACCTAGGACTTCCCACCCATGCGGTGTGTGATTCTGGTCTCTCTGTGCTCCCACCACAGAGTAATTTATCAGCAGCAGGAACAAGGCACTTCTGTCCATCCCCAGTAACCAGCTCATCTTGTGTTTGGGATGGCAGGCTCCGGACACGCTTACACAGAGAGACACCGTTCATCACAATGCCCGAGAAGGCCATTCCAGTCAGGAAACGGAAGATGCAGTAGGCAGTGAAGCTGGGCGAGAAGGCAGTGCAGGTGCCCGTGACAGCCATCTGCAAATAGCACCAGATCAAGAGAGACCTGCGGCCAAACCTGAGCCAAAAAGAACCAAGAACAGGTGAAGGAAACCCAGGATACTGAGGGAAGTCTGTTCACTGTAGGAGTTAAACCTGGTGCAAGGAAGTATTGGTGCCATTGACTGGCATGGCTTCCCGGCTTGGGGAAGGGGCAAAGAGGCAGGAGGCCCCAGTTCTAAAACCAGCTCTGTGGCACGTGACAAAAGGTTATTGATGAAAATACTTCATGTCAGCCGTGCTGTAGCTGCTAATGATGAGTCCTGGAGGCAGGGCTGGCTCCAGGCACCAGCGAAGGAAGCAGGTGCTTGGGGCAGCCAGTGGAAAGGGGCGGCACGTCCAGGTCTTCGGTGGCAATTTGACAACAGGTCCCTCAGTCCCTCTCTTCCTCTTTGAGCTGCCGCCAAAGTGCCGCCGAAGAGGAAGAGAGGGAGCGAAGAACCCGCCGCCGAATTGCTGCTGAAGAATGAAGCGGTGCGATTGAGCTGCCGCCGAAGGGACGCCGATTGTCTTTACCTTTTTTTCTTTTTCTGATTCGCCGCTTGGGGCGGCAAAAAAGCTGGAGCGAGCCCTGCCTGCAGCGCTGGATTAAGTCAATCTAGGGCCCTGGCAGTAGGGTTATCCCCTGGCTGGTATTTGACTGTTAGAAAAACATGCAATCTTGATTTCAAAATCTCCAGGGCTGGAGAATCCACCACAACCCTTGTTCCAATGGTTAATTCCTTTTGCTGTTAGAAATTTGCACCTTATTTCCTATCTGAATTTGTCTAGCTTCAATTTCCAGCCACTGGCTCTTGTTAGACCTTTGTCTGCTAGATGCAAAAGCTTCTTATCAGATTGCTGATCCCCATGTAGGTACATATAGAGAGCCCCATGTTTTTTGCAAATGTGAAATAATATGAAATAAAGCTAAAAACTCACCCTGCAGTGGAAGCTCCTGTCCTGTGGAGCTCAGGCTGGTTCCCCACTCTGAATGGGGGGGGCGCCCGGCCAAACCTGAATAGCACTGGGACCCCGTGTGCCAGGCCACAACACCCTGAGTCGAGAGCCAGGCCCAGCCGCACCGCACAGGACCCCAGGACCCGCTTCTGCAGGGTGAGTGCAGGGCAGGCTCAGGGGTGCACTCACCTCCCCCAGAGCCTCCCAACCCCTGGTGGCAGGACTCAGCCCCTCTCTAGGGCCTCCAAACCCCAAGGCAAGACCCGATCCCCTGCATAGATAATATTAACAAAACAAAAATAACAAGAAATTCCCCCCAAAATAAAATAAACAATTATTAAAAGAATTCAAGGGGCTCCACTTACAGACTGTGATCAAGTCACCCCTTAACCTTTGATTTATAGATCGAGATCCTGAAGTCTCTCACTGTAAGGCACGTTCTCCATTCCTTTAATCATTCTCGTGGGTCTTCTCTGGCACCTCTCCAACTTACCAATATCCTTCTGGAATTGTGGACACCGGAACTGAACACAGGATTCCAGTAGCAGTCGCACCAGTGCCAAATACAGAGATACCATAACTTCTCTCCTCCTGCTCGAGATTCCTGATTCCCCCAGGAATCAGCCTTGCTCAGCTTCATAATGACATTGCTCTCACCTGTCTGACAGACTTCCAAAGATGATGCCTCCCGCCAGGATCCCAGCCATGTAGATGGACTGAGCCATCTGCTTCAGCTGCCGGGAATCACAAACCAGGTCCCACTGTAAGGGAGAGAGAAAACGAAGCTGGGCTCCAGGAGGAAGACTGGCTTGTGGTTAATGCCCCAGACTGGGGCTGAGATTTTCAGAGCCATTAATGGCATTTAGACAGCCGGTTCCCATAGCAATCCTTACAATTCATTTTAATTTGTTAATTACAAGTCCAAAGCTACCTACGTTTAATGGGAAATGTGATCTGCAGGGCATCACAGCCTGAATCTCTCTGAGGCTCAATGTCCATCATCTGTAAAATGAGGGAGGATCATCCTGGTCTCAACCTTTGTCCCTGTGCAGCACCCAGCACAGCTGGGCCCCAATCTCAGTTGGGGTCCACAGAGCACCCAGCACAGTCTCAGTTGGGATCTGTGCAGTGCCCAGTGCAATGGGGCCCTGATTGGAGCTGGAGTCCATGCAGTATCCGGCACAAGGGTTCCCCAGTCTGAGCTGGGCTCTGTGCAGTTCCAGGCACAACAGGGCTCCACTCTCAGCTTGGGTCTGTGTAGCATCTAGCACAGTGAGTCTCCGAACTCAGCTGGGTCTCTGCAGTGCCTGGCAGAATGGGTCCTTTCGATGTTAATGTAGGATCAAATATAATGATCCCAAGTGAGGCGGATGGTTTTGAATGGAGTGAGCGTTCAAGAGACTGGGACCCCTACTCCTAGCTCTGACACTGACTTGCTGTGACCTTGGGCAAGTCATGCTGCCGCGGTGTGCCTCAGTTTCCCCCAGTTGTGAGGTGGGATAGTAAGGTTTAGTCACTATTGTAAAGCCCTTTGAGATCCAGGGGAGAGCAGGGCTAGCTCTTAGCATCACTCACAGTTCCTTTAATGCGGATTAGTGGATTATGTCCAGTTTAATTGAGAGGAAACTGACTGCAAAATGGACGGGGGAATTCCCACCCCAGCCAGTGCAACTAGAGCTTCCTCCTACTGATATACTGAAGGCTCTGTGAAGCGTAAAGGCCGTGTCCTGCTTTCCTTTACACCTGTGCAATGGCAGCCACTTGAAGCCACATGGATTGAAGTCGCCTGAGGGGCCAGAATGTAACTGAGAACAGCACGTGGCCCTGGATGAAATTCTGCACTGACTTAGGCTGAAACCAAGCCAATGTCAATAGACATGCAGGGGCTGCAGGTTGGTGCAAATTTTAAGATCAGATCTAGGAAGAGGAGGATTGATAGATAGATACTCTGACCCACTCTGCCAAGAGGACAGTGAAACTTACTTGCAAAAATCTATGAAAAGGCATAATTCCAACAAAAATATTTTCAACTCATCCACCCCATGGTTTCTGTATCCTTTTCCCAGCCGGTTACCCACGCTGCAGCAGGTCTTGCTCTCACGTACCTCTGTAATGATGGTGCTGGTGAAAATGCTCTTGTCGTACACCCACCCATCAGCGCAGGGTTCAGTCTCCAGCTCGGTTAGGTTTGTGACTGTGGCGTTGGAGTCTAGGAGCTGGCACTGCGTGGTGACAAAGCGGTGACACTTCTCTGGCTGCTGGTTGCTGTCCATGGAGATGGAGACCCTGAGGAGGTTCTTGGCAGCGAGCTTTCCGGTGAGGTTGGTGTAAGGAGTGTTGTTGATGTTGATATGGACATGGCAGTGGTGCTCAGAAGTGGCAGCAGTGAAGTTCTGCAGGAGGTTATGGCTGGCCAGCATGAAAACTGGAATAGCCAGTAAGATCGCATAGATGATTTGGAAGCGACCTATCCCCCCGACGTGGTCTAAGAGCTCGGCAAAACTCATGGTGCCGGGTTGGAAGATTCAGCACTAATCGTCTGGGTTAAGCAAAAACGATGGGGCTCGAATAACCGACGTTACCTGAATAGGTCTGTCATAACTATAAAGGGAAGGGTAAGAGCTCTCCTGTGTATAGTACTATAAAATCCCTCCTGGCCAGAGACTCCAAAATCCTTTTACCTGTAAAGGGTTAAGAAGCTCAGGAAACCTGGCTGACACCTGACCCAAAGGACCAATAAGGGGACAAGATACTTTCAAATCCAAGGGGGTTGGATCTTGATCCACCAGCAGTTGGTGGAAGGGAGGAAGGGGAATGGCTAATTTCTCCTTGTTTTAAGATCCAAGGGGTTTGGGTCTGTATATACCAGGGAATTGGTGAAGAGTCTCTCAAGGCTACCCAGGGAAGGGAATTAGCTTTGGGAGTGGTGGCAGCGGACCAGATCTAAGCTGGTAGTTAAGCTTCAGAGTTTTCATGCAGGCCCCCACATTTGTACCCTAAAGTTCAGAGTGGGGAAGCAGCCTTGACAAGGTCGATTATTTGTAAAAATTAAACGTTGTGCGATGAAAATATCTACACAGAAAGACGTTAATTTGAATCCAGCTTGTATTCCACTTCACAACTTCAAAGACAGCCATAAAGCGCAGCACTTCTTACAAAAGGTCAGCTGTTGGCAAATAGTGTCCATGGATTCTTGAGGGTGTAGTTTCCAAAGAAGAGCTGTTGAGTTATATTCTCCCTAAATAACTGAGTATGATACCACGTTGCTTCTCCTTTGTTGCAAAAATTCCTATGCAACCATTCCTAGTTTCCTGTCAGCTGCGGGAATACTCCACACACCTTTTCTATGAACTGTAGATGCATAAGGGAATGGTTTCGCCAAGCTTAATTCCACGTTGATCCTTGCATTTTACCCTCTGGAAAAGCAGGTGGGGGTTTATATATCCCTTGGAAGGTTATATAAGGCCTTAAGCAGGTCACTTGGTTAAAATTTTACTTTGTTTTGCATGGATTAAGTTTTAAAAAAAAAGAGAGAGTCTGAAAGCAATGTGCTAGATACAGCGCTAAATGCTTCCAGTGCAGAGGTAACAAACACACAGATCCAAGCTGCTAAACCAGATTGCCTTTTGGTGAG